TTTGACAGCGCTGCGTCTTACGACGGTCGGACGCCGGGATGCAGTCTTTATTTATGCTCATCCCAATCACTGTTTTGTTTTTTTTGTTTTTTTTTTTTGGGGCATTTCCTCCACTTAATGACCTGATTTGGCGGCTAAGAAATACATCTGTCTAATTTCTCGCATGTCAGCACGCCATCTGGTGCACTATCGGCATGAAAAATAGGAAGAAAGCCCGTCGTGATCAACTCCTTTCAAACTTTTGCTCATGGCATTTTATTTAAAAGGAAAGAAAAAAAATCTTCAAAACTAAGCTTACGGTTTAAAAGTACGGCTGTAGAGCCAACATTATGCGCAGTTTTTCGAGATCCAACGCGGAACTCATCGCTGACTTGATGTCGTGCATTATTATTGTTTTTGACATGCCGTCTTTTTTTTCTTGCCATATTGTAGCAGACGGGACAGAGACAAGGCCAATTATGAACGTGTTGCATTTCATGTTCTATGGTTATCATGACATGAATCCTCTTTGCCATCACTGCTGCGCTTCTGAGATAAAAGCCAAAGAAAAATGCAAATGACACTCGTGCATTGATGTCTCGAGACTCTTATCCACTTTCGCAATGTTGGCATCTTGTAAATATGATGTTTTTAGATATATTCACATTTCTACGTGTGGAATGCTTGGCAAAGTTGTGAGGCAGGACTCCCCACTCACCCAATGCATTTTACCCCTTGGATGACATATATTTATTTCCTTTCTAACCTTTCAAAGGTGCTATTTGGGACTTCTCAATAGGCAGGAGCCATTCGCTCCATTTCCGTATGTTTTGAAGGACCGGCTTTCCCCTCCCCTGCCAAAAGTTGAAAGTCGTACATCAAAAACAGCCATCGGAAAGAGCTCCATTATTTCCACTCGATGGCAGTTCAGCGTCTGGCTTTGGGAGCCGTTGCGATACGTTGTCGGTCTGGCACGGACGTGGGCTTTTTATTCGAGAAAAATGTCCGTTGGTGCCCACCATAAAAGTGTTTTAAGCCCATTCTTAGTGGCGAGTTCGAGCGCGTCGCCGGCGGTTTAATGTCACGCAACGCGTTTGTCTTGCTCCGATCTATTTGGAACGACGCTTAAATGTAGGCTTTAAGATTTCACGACGGCCATCGTTCTCAGTGGTCACGGAGACTTTCTTGTGCGTGGGAAGCCAGTCAACGTGGACAAATCTGTCACCCCCCCCAAATAATTTCTCGTCGACAATCTCCCTTTCATCATTCAGTATATTTGTTCCAAGACGGCACCGCGATAAAACATTCATTTGCCGTCGAGTAAATGTTTTAAAGGACGCTGGATGCGCCGAAGCGTACGCTGCTGCCTTTCATGGCGACGGCGCGGGTTCGACTCCCAGCCACTGTGCCAAACAAATCAGAGAAGACTGTCGAAACACCTCACGGGACAATTGCGCAGCCTATTCCTCGTAGTGCTGAAATGAGCCTGTGTTAAAGGGGCAGTCCATCTCACGCTAGTGATGATACGAGATTCAGTTTTTTTGATGATTTAACACTTGCGCTCCGTCAGCCACAAGACGAAACTGCGATCCCCTTCCAACCGTTCTGACGTCAACACATTGCATGAAAGGACTTGGACAAAAACGGTTACGCATCAATACAAAGCCTTTTTCAATCTTAATTGTCTGGCGGCAGGTGACAGAGACGCGCACGGGCCCTTTGGGATGCAGCAGCTACGACAATCTGGACTCGGTCAGCTCCGTCCTGCTGCAGAGCCCCGAGAGCAAGCTTCATCTGCAAGGTAAACAGAAAAGCCGACGCGTCCGTATTAACCATCGGGCGGGGGGTTGGTGGGGGGTGGGGGGGCATGAGACATCGTGTCACGCCTTGGGCAGACTCCATTTTGTCTTTTCAAAATGGAACACGGTGACGCATTGTGCGTAAACCTTACCCCGGGGCAACTTGGAGGTATGACCGTATCTGCCCCCCCCCCCCCTCGCTCTATATTGTGATTTAGCTCGAGCCTCCCTGCTACATTGCAGTGTATTTATTTATTTTGGGGAAGGGGCCGGGGGGGTACGTACAGTATCGAATTGTCTATGCCAGAAATCCCTGCAACGGTTTATTTATTTTTGAGATCTGTGGAATATTCCAAATGTTTTTTCTGGAGCTAGCAGAACAAGAATTAAAGAGAGTTTTGAATATAAATGGTGTCTCCATAGAATGAAAGATTTATCTTGGGTTCTCTGTATTCAATTGTCTATGCCAGAAATCCCTGCAACGGTTTATTTATTTTTGAGATCTGTGGAATATTCCAAATGTTTTTTCTGGAGCTAGCAGAACAAGAATTAAAGAGAGTTTTGAATATAAATGGTGTCTCCATAGAATGAAAGATTTATCTTGGGTTCTCTGTATTCAATCTTCTTCTTCTTCTCCTTTCGGCACGTCCCTTTTCAGGGGTCGCCACAGCGAGTCAGTAATGTCCATCCGCCCCTGAAGTCAACGACGGAGCGCCGTGTAATCCGCGGTCAAGTATGTGAACAGCGTGATTGCTTCTTTTGATTTAGCCGAGTTTACCGAGATGATTACGAGCAGCCGGAGATTCTCAAAAGGCGCGTTTTCTTTGCTTTGACACCCGCCATCGTCCTCTCTCCTTGGAACGGAGAGATTATTTGTCCTCTTAAATTCCCGAGATGATTACGAGCAGCCGGAGATTCTCAAAAGGCGCGTTTTCTTTGCTTTGACACCCGCCATCGTCCTCTCTCCTTGGAACGGAGAGATTATTTGTCCTCTTAAAAAAAATACATTAAAAAAAATCACAGAGTTGAGTGCTTTTGTCATAGTAAAGATTTAAGTTGCCTCTCGCTCAATGGCATCCGAAGCTTTGCTTCTAAAGTGCCTGCCGTGTTCTTTGTCCGTGTTCTCTACCCGGCTGTTGATGACAGACTTGACGTTCGTGGATTTCAATTGCACTCCACAGTTCAAGTGACAGTTCACGCGCCGCCGTTTGGATATTTGCGTTAGGGACGTTGCGAAGAGAAGAAAACAAAAGAAGCGGGGGAAATCCTCGGAATCTGAAAGGCTGTTCTCAAAAATCCTGATACAAAGGGAAAAATGAACCTCATTCCACGGCAATGTACAGTAGATGCAATGTTGGGGGCCGAACATGATATATAAATACCGTATGAATCAAATATGCTACTCCAGGATGTGTACAATTCTACTGATACAACACTGAGGGCAACTCCAAGTGCCCATATTGAATTCAATCGACAGCTACCGTGGATAATGGAAAAGGCTACGTAGCCCTGTTCAAGTGCCAGGTTTTTGCGCTATCAGAAATGAGACCAGTAGAAATCATTTGAAAACTTTTCCCGCCATTATTGTGACCTACAGACTGCAAAACGGAGTTGAAAACAAAAGAGAGGGAGGGGGACTAAAAATAAACAACAGATGAGCGTGTGGGGATGTGACCGTGTTTAGGATCGACCAATCAAATGTAAAATAGGATTCCGCGCACACCTGCCACCATTTAAAGTGCCTTTAACTAATGGACCCCAAATAAAGTTCAGCTGCTTTTCCTGATAGTTCTGTGGTCGCATTTTATAGCACTCACAATGTTATGCAAAGAGCTTGAGAGGGATCTCATCCTCCCGGGCAGGTGTGCAAAAGAATTTACAAGGCGTGAAATGTAGCAATAGCTATCATATAGCAGCGATAGCTCAACAACATGGACGTGCCTCCAAAAATGGATGAAAACATGTGAGAAGGTTCAGGGAGGCCGCCAAGAGGATGCCAGCATCATCGATCGGATGAGCTGCAGGAATTTCAGGCAAGTACTGGCTGTTGAAGTAGCGGACATGTCGTAGCAATCTCCCATCTTCTTCATAGCATCGGGCTATAGGGTCATGTGAGAGGAGGGACGCCTGATCGGACAAAGAAAACGATCCAATCTTGGCTACACTTTTGCAAAAAAACACACTTTGAAATCTCCCAAAACACATGTGAAAATGTGTTTTCGATAAAAAAAAAAAAAAAAAAAAAAAAAAAA